CCCCAGCCCAGAGCCTGCACCCCTTCCCGCACTCCAACCCCCTGCCCCAGCCCGGTGAAGGTGAGTGAGGGTGGGGGAGAGCGAGGGTGGGGGGATGGAGGGAGTGGGCTGGGGCTTTGGGGAAGGGTCAGGAATAGATCATGGGTTGCCCTTAAATTCAAAAAGTGATCTTGGGCATAAAAAGGGTTGGAGATCACTGCCCTACACTAACCAGTCCCCTCCCTGCCTTTCCACTCGCACGAGAAGCTACCTACTGATCATTCCCATTCCCATCCCCTGCCCCAGCCCATGCCAGCCCTCCGGGGCTCCCTAGCCCTACCATGCGCCCACAGCTCCCCGCCCTGATCATGAATATGCAGAAGAAGGTGGCTCTGAACTCTCCAGCATGCCCCGATTAAATGGCCAGCCCTGCCCATCGTGCATTGCAAAGGGAGACTCCATTTCCCAGAGTCCCTTGCAACGGCGATTGCACTAAACGTGGGACAGGCTCCCACCCCCAGCCCGTTCCCACCCCCTTAGTCCCCAGGGCTGCTGGGGCAGGAACTGTGGCTGCAGCAGCAGACACCGGCAGCTCCCTGGTGGTTCCCCCTTGGGGGCTTGGCCGCTCTGCAAAGACGTCATGCAGGAGAATGACAAGACCTTGATCTCGCTGGGTGAGCAGCGGCTGCCCCTCGGGGATCGGGGGGTTCGGAGGTGCCCCGGGGGGGGCTTCAGTTCAGGACTCCTCCCCACCCCCTTGGGTTCCTGAGGGAACCGCCCCTGGAACCCCACCACCCCCATACGATAAAGGCAGTGGGGCCAGCTGCTCCTCCCACGCCCCTAAGTGCTGAGCTCTGCCTCTCCATCCCCACCAGCAACAGCTGGAGACCCCCCGCATCTCCAAGAGACCCTTAAATTCTCCACAATCCCCTGTCCTCCCTGAGCAGCATCTCCCTGAACGCTGCCCCCCTCACTCACTCTCTCTCTCTCTCTCTCACACACACACACTCACTTTCCATCCACACAGGGAGGAGAGGAAGTGTGTGCAGGTGGTGGGCTGAGAGGATGGGTGTGCATGGGGAGACGGGGGGTGCACACACGTGTGCAAGCGGGGAAGAGCTGGGTGTGCATGTGCAGGGAAGGTGCTACTAGACCCCCGTCTCTGGGGCTACGGGGAGTGTCATGGGGGTGCACTTACCACCCAAGCCCCTCTGGGGTCAGGACACGACAGGGATTCGTCTAGCTTCAGCACCCCCTTTTGTCGGCTGATCTGGCTTTGCCATGGTGGTGTTCTGGGTGACTCAGCCCTCAAGCCAGGTCACACTTCAAGTTCAGTGCCCTTCTGGGATATCCAAGTCCAGCTGTAACTGGTCAGGCCCCACGCTGGCCTCTTCACAGTCCCTTCACCCACTTCCCCCTGGTCCCACAGCAAAATCATAAAAATGGAAGTCCATCCACCTGCGCTGAGGTGGGACCAAGTAAACCTAGACCAGGGGTAGGCAACCTATGGCACGTGTGCCGAAGGCGGCACGCAAGCTGATTTTCAGTGGCACTCACACTGCCCGGGTCCTGACCACCGGTCCGGGGGGCTCTGCATTTTAATTTAATTTTAAATGAAGCTTCTTAAACATTTTAAAAACCTTATTTACTTTACATACAACAATAGTTTGGCTATATATTATAGACTTATAGAAAGAGACCTTCTAAAAACATTAACATATATTACGGGCACGCGAAACCTTAAATTAGAGTGAATAAATGAAGACTCGGCACACCACTTCTGAAAGGTTGCTGACCCCTGACCTAGACCATCCCTGACAGCTGTTTGTCCAGCCTGTTCTTAAAAACCTCCAATGACTGGGACTCCACAAACTCCAGCCCGGGAACATGTTGCCTCTGAACTATCCATAGAGTTAGAAAGTTTTTCCTAATATCTAACCTAAAGCTCCCTTGCTACAGATTAAGCCCATTGCATCTTGTCCTACTTTCAGCTGATCACTGTCCTTTTTATAACAGCACTTGGCATATTTTAAGACTGTTATCAGGTCCCCCCACTCAGTCTTCTTTTCTCAAGACTGAACATGCCCAGTTTTTTTAAAACCTTTCCTCATAGGTCAGGTTTTCTGAACCTTTTATTGTTTTTGTTGCTGGTCTCCGGACTCTCTTCAGAGTCCAAAGAACAGCCTCTTTCCTAAAATGTGGTGCCCAGACTGTGCCCCGGTTCTCCAGCTGGGGTGTCCCCCAGTGCGGAGTAGAGCAGGACAATTATCTCCTGTGTCTTACACACAACACTCCTGTCAATACACCCCAAAGTCCTTCCAAATTAAACAGAACCTAGCAAAATCACACTCTTCTTTCACAGAGTAGCAGATCCCAGGGCTTCTCCCTGGGCCCCCTCCATAAAGCTCAAAACTACGAACAAAATTAAACACCCCCAAAGCATTTCTCACCCCTCTCCACTCTTGGGCCAGTCACACTGTGATGGGGGAACAGACACTCTCGGCCTCGTTTCTATGGGTACAGCGGAACTGGGGAGATGCACACTCTAGGCTAGGGTGACCAGATAGCAAATGTGACCAATCGGGACGGGGGTGGGGGGTACTAGGTGCCCATATAAGAAAAAGCCCCGAATATCGGAACTGTCCCTATAAAATCAGGATATCTGGTCACCCTACTCTAGGCCCTGTCTCTATGGTTACAGTGGGGCTAAGGAGATGCGCACTCTAGACCCCATCTCTATGGTTATAGCAAAGCTGGGGAGATGTGCATGCTTGGCCCTGCTCTATGGTTACATGCAGGCATGGGGAAATGCACATTCTAGGCCCCATCTCTTTGGATACGGGGGAGCCAGGGAAGTGCATGCTCTAGATAGAGTCTCTATGGTTATGGTTGAGCCTGGAAGATGCACACTCTAAGCTGGGTCTCTACAGTTACTGGCTGGGCAGGGAGATTTGTGCTCTGAGTCCCATCGCTATTTACTGGGGTTAGGGTTGGGAATATGCGCTCTAAGCCCTGGCTCTGTGGTTACAAGTGGGCCGAAGAGACGTGCATTCTTCTAAGCCCATCTCTGTGGTTACAGGCGGGCTAGAGAGACGTGTTCTCTAGACCCCATCTCTATGGTTACAGGAGTGCATGGAGACTTACATTCTAGGCCATGTCCCTCTGGCCAGGTATTACATTGTGCAAGGTGGGGAACCAAAGGGAGTGACGTCAGGGAAACCTTGAGAGAGGACTACAGAGAGAGGGGAGAATCCCTTTTAAAAAATATTATTATTTTTGCGGGGATTTTCTATTCATTGTCTTGTTTGCATAATTGTATGGAAATTAGGGGATTGGCTCACTTGCATAAACCCTCCAGATTTCTGAGCCTGCAGCCACGACATCATGGAGGGTGGTATAAATGATGCTTCTGGGCAGGGTAGATGCCTTCCACTGATGCCCAGGCCTATAACAACTCCGACGATTCACTGGGTGTAGCCAGGATCTTCCCTGCCAGGGTGAGGGAAGGGTTTGGGGGTTTTCGCTTCCTGCCCATCAGGTTTTCTGCTCTGTGACAAACCCCTTTGCTGCCCCTTCTCTCCCCAGCAGGGAACGAGCCCCGGCTGGATTCTCTTTCTCTCCCAGCAGGTTCCAGGACCAGGAAGAGGAATCCCCAGCAAGAAGAGCCTGTGGGGGAGGAGCTGCAAGGGATGCCCCACAGCCCTGAGCAGGGAGACGCTGGCCAAAGCCAGGGAAGGAGAGGACAGCAGCAGGGAAAGACAGAGGGAGAACCCACTGATGAAGAATGTTCTAAGAAGCTCCTTGGCTTGCAAAGAATCTGCACAGCAGAGAGACCCTATAAATGCCCCGAATGCGGGAAAAGCTTCACCCAGAGCTCTATGCTCATCCGCCACGAGAGATCCCACACGGGAGAAAAACCCTACACGTGCTCTGTCTGCGGGAAGAGTTTTAGTCAGAGGTCCAATCACATGCAGCATCAGAGGATCCACACGGGGGAGCGACCCTATAAATGCACTGACTGTGGGAAGAGCTTCTCTCTGAGCTCCCGCCTACTCCAGCATCAGATGGTCCATACTGGAGAGCGGCCTTACAAATGCCCTGACTGTGGGAAGAGCTTCAACCAGAAGTCCAACCTGAAGCAGCACCAGAGAATCCACACAGGGGAGCGACCCTACCAACGCCCTGATTATGGAGAAAGCCACTCTCTCAGCCCACCCCAGGGGATCCATAAAGTAGAGAGACCCTATAAGTGTCCCCAATGTGGAAAATGCTTCCGTGTGAGCTCACACCTTATTAGACACCAAGTCACCCACACGGGAGAGCGACCCTATAAATGCTCCGTCTGCGGGAGAAGCTTCTCACTGAGTTCTCACCTCATCCGGCACCGGATAGTCCACACAGAGGATAAACCCTACATCTGCACTGAGTGTGGGAAGAAGTTTAGCCTGAGCTCCAGGCTCGATAGACACCTGAGAACCCACACGGGAGAGAGACCCTATAAATGCCCCAACTGCGGGAGTGGCTTCGTCGACAGCTCTGCTCTTATTAAGCACCAGAGGATTCACACTGGGGAGCGACCCTATACCTGCCCTGAATGTGGGAAGAGCTTTGGTCGGAGCTCGTACCTTATCACCCATCAGAGAACTCATACGGGAGAGAGACCCTATAAATGCCCCGACTGCGGGAAAAGCTTTGTCGGCAGCTCTGATCTGAATAAACACCAGCGCACCCACACGGGAGAGCGCCCCTATAACTGCCCTGAATGTGGGAAGAGCTTCAGCCGGAGCTCAAACCTTATTGCCCATCAGAGAATCCACACGCGTTCCTTCACTCCTGCTCAGGGATGTGGTTAGGGAGATTTTGAATGTTGGCATTAAACATTTTGGGGGGGTTTATTTATTTGATCACTTGGCTCCCATGCAGGGTTTGGAAATAAGAGACTACTAGTGCCTTGTTCATCCTGTGTTTTAATACGGCTAAATGTAAATGTATACATCTGGGAACAGAAAGTGTCAGCCAGACTTACAGGATCGGGGACTGCCCTGGGAAGCAGGGACTCTGAAAAAGATTTGGAAGTTATGGTAGATAATCAGCTGAACATGAGCTCTCCCTGCGACGCTGTAGCCAAAAGATCTAATGCAATCCTGGGATGCATAAACAGGGGACTCTCAAGTGGGAGTAGAGACGTTATTTGACCTTTGTATTTGGCACTTTTGCAACCACTGCTGGAATCCTGTGTCCAGTTCTGGTACCTACAATTCCAGAAGGATGTTGATAAATTGGAGAGGGGTCAGAGAAGAGCCACGAGAATGATTAAAGGATTAGAAAGGCTTATGGTGGCAGACTCTAGGAGCTCAATCTATTTAGCTGAACAAAGAGAAGATTATGGGGTGACTTGATCACAGTCTATAAGTAACTCCATAGGAAAAAATATTTAATAATGGGCTCTTCAGTCTAGCAGAGAAAGATCTAACACTAGCCAGTGGCTGGAATTTGAAGCCAGACAAATTCAGCCTAGAAATAAGGCATAATTTTTTAATGGTGAGAGTAATTAGCCATTGGAGAACTGGCCAGGGGTTGTGGTGGATTCTCCATCACTGACAATTTTTAAATCAAGATGGGATGTTTTTCTGGAAGTTCTGCGCTAGGAATTATTTTGGGGAAGCTCTATGGACTGTGCGAAACAGGAGGTCAGACTAGATGACCACAATGGCTTTAGAATCTGTGGATCTACATAAAGCCTTGGAAGGAATAATTTTTTTAGTCAGTAAATGTCAATTTCAGCATGCACACACAAACCAATGACAAAATATTTCCCGTGATAATCAACATTTACAGATAGGCAGAGTAAGAAAAATGCTGCTTTAGAACTTCTTGGAGTCAAAATCCAGTGACTGAAAATAAGCCTGTTACAAATGGACTAGTGAATGAATCGTAAAAAACAGGTAGGATTTGGGGTGATGTCAGGATATTGACTTTGTATATTTTGACATGTGATGCTGACAATTTGGTTTCAATGGTTTATAAAACTTTATTTTTTTGAATCTCAACATCTGCTATCATTAAATAATTATCTGACACTCCCGACTTAATTTCCGGCAACTGTGAAAATTTAAAGAGATAAAAATAAATGCTTAAAAATAAACATTGATATTATCTGTTGAAATTATTTTTAAAAATTCTGCCAAGCCTAGTTTTATATACACCTCTACCGTGATATAATGCGACCTGATATAACACGAATTCGGATATAATGCGGTAAAGCAGCGCTCCGGGGGGTTGGGGCTGCGCACTCCGGTGGATCAAAGCAAGTTCGATATAACACGGTTTCACCTATAATGCAGTAAGATTTTTTTGGCTCCCAAGGACAGCGTTATATCAGGGTAGAGGGGTGTATAATATATAAAAAGCTCTTTGGAACAGGGCCTGTCTCTTCAATACATACAATGCCTATCACAATGGGATCCCACACTTGATTGGTCCCTCTGGGTGTAACCAGGCTTGAAACATTAAAATAACAAAAATGTCCATGTTTTGATTTATAAAATGCTCTTGCAGCCTTTCTTTGAGAAGCTCTAACACCTCTCTCGTTTGTAGCAGAGTTCTGAAATACGGCAGAGGGAAAGCCCTTGGGCTAGAGAAGTGCCTTTTCTTTGTCCTGGAAAGTCTGCTCCAGTTTGGCAGGGATATCAGTTGTTAACAGTCACCAATTCTTTTCTCTCGCTTGGGTTCCTCCAGAAAGTGGTGAGAGGCTGCTGGAATAACACCTGAACTCAACCATTGTAAAGATCCAGGCCTGTCCTGCTGCAGCACATGCTACTGGAAATGTGTTGGAACTGCTGGCTTGGGGGGGATGGGGGACACACAGAGCCCCTGGCATGAGGGAGAAGGAGGGAGTCCCCGAAATAGAGGGGTTGGGAGGGTGGCACACAGGGAACTTCAGCCAGGGAATGGCAGGAAAGAGGGAGCCCATGATGTGTGTAATGAGTAGGGCCTGCTGGAGAAACAGACGTGTGCAATCTTGTGGTGGAGAAGGTACTAGCATGGGACTGGGTATTCCTGGACCTTGAGGGAGTCATTCCCTTCTCTGCGCCTCTTTCCCTCTCCCACCTTGTGTCTGCCTTGGGCAGGCCTGTCTCGTGGCTGGGACTGCAGTCGGAAAGTTCTTCCTCTGAAATGTGTTGCCTTTCAAGTCCATTGACCGTTCTCTGATGGTCTTGTGGCACAGGAGATCCCAAGCTATTGTCTCTATCTCGCTCATCTATCGGGTCCCCTCTCACTCCTCCCCTCTCTAGGCTAACCAGCCCCTGGCTTTCCAGTCTCACTCCATATGACATCTGTCCTGGCTGCTGATCATTCTCAGTGCCCAGCCCTGCCCCTGGGCCTCCCTGCACCTACCAGGCTAGTGGAGAGATTCATAGATCTTAAAGCCACAAAGGATCATTGGGATCATCTAGTCTGGCCTCCCGTATAACACAGGACAGAGACCTGCCTGGAATTAGGGTGACCAGATGTCCCAATTTTATAGGGACAGTCCCGATTTTTGGGTCTTTTTCTTAGACAGGCTCCTATTATCCCCCACCCCCTGTCCCGATTTTTCACACTTGCTGTCTGGTCACCCTACCCGGAATTAATTCCTGCTTGAACCAGAACAGATCTTTCAGCAAAACAGACTGTCTTGAACAAAGGTAACAGCTCTCCGCCCCTTCGTGAATATTCAAGAGGGGGTGAGTCTGCAATCTCCAGCATGCCCCCAAACAAACAGCCAACCCTGGTGCATTGCAAAGGGAGACTCCATTTCCCAGAGACCTTTGCAAAGTGGGCCGCACTAAAAGCACAAGACCCCACCCCCATCCTAGTCCTATCCTAAAGTAGTTCCTGCCCCAGCCCTAGTGCTGGGGACCGTGGCTGGGGTCCCTGCCCCGGTGGTTCCAGGCACCGGTGGGGTTCGAGGAGGTGGCCGTGTATTTCTCCCGGGAGGAGTGGGGGCTCCTGGACGAAGGGCAGAGGCAGCTCTACAGGGACGTCATGCAGGAGAATTACCAGACTCTGATCTCGCTGGGTGAGGCGCCGCTGCCCCTCGGGGATCAGGAGCTCGACGGGCTTTGATGGACCCGGGGCAGCTACGGCTCAGGGCTCTTCCCCGCTTAGATTTCTGGGGGATCAGCCCTGCTGCCCCCAGGCCCAGCAGCACAGGGACCGTCACCCCACAGGGCGGATCCCGTGTGCCCCCAGCAGAGAGCGGGGCCCGGGCTAAAATCAATGAGCAGTTTTCCGTACCGAGCCCTTGGGGGAAATTTCACCGAGCCCCGTCTTGCCTGTTTCCTTCTCCTGAGCAGGATTCCCCGACCCAGCCGGGATCCCCCGATGGAGCGACGGGAAGAGCCGAGGGTCCCGGATCTCCAGGGCTCCTAAGAAAGGGAGATCCTGAGAGGCGCCCACACAGGTGAGGGATGAGCAACACCAGCTTAGAGACCGTCCGGGAGTGAAGGGAACAGCTGGGATCCCAGCAAAGCTGCAGAGAGCCCCCCAGTTCTGTCTCATCTCAGTATCGTCCCCCACAGGTCCCTGTCCTCACAGCAGCTGTTACTCCCAGATTCCATCCCGGCAGGAGCCCTCCCCTCCCCCAACCTTTCTCTGAGGGCTCAGCTGGCATGTTGGGGCAGCCCTGGCCCCTCCTCTCCCCTCTGGGAAGGGTTTGGGGGATTCGCTTCCTGCCCATCAGGTTTTCTGCTCAGCGACAAACCCCTTTGCTGCCCCCTCTCTCCCTGGCACAGGGAACAAGCCCCGGCTGGATTCTCTCTCTCTCCCAGCAGGTGCTGTGATGGCGAGTGGGAGCTTTGAGGAGATCCCCCAGCAGAAAGAGCCTGCAGGAGTGGAGCTGCCCAGGACATCCCAGAGCCCCGAGCGGGGAGACACCGATGGGGCGGAACGGCAATGGGGAGCCTCCCCGGCAGGGAAACTGAGTCAATCCAGAGCTGGTGTCGAAGCTGAATATGACTTGGTGTCTTGTGGAACCCAGGCGGGGGAGAGAGCGAATACGTGCCCTGAGTGCGGGAAAAACTTCTCTTGGAGCTCCCGGCTCCTCCGACACCAGAGATCCCACACCGGGGAGCGCCCCTACCGGTGCCCTGACTGTGGGAAGGGCTTCAGCGAGAGCTCGGCCCTGATCCAGCACCAGCGCACCCACACCGGGGAGCGTCCTTACAGCTGCAGCGTGTGCGGGAAGAGTTTCGGCCTGAGCTCCCACCTGATCCGCCACCAGCGCACCCACACGGGGGAGCGCCCCTACCAATGCCCTGACTGCGGGAAGGGCTTCCTGCGGCGCTCCCAGCTCACCCTGCACTGCCGGACCCACACAGGAGAGAGACCCTATCAATGCCCTGACTGCGGGAAGGGCTTCAACGAGATCCCCAACCTGCACCGGCACCAGCGCAGCCACACGGGGGAGCGGCCCTATAAATGCTCCGACTGCGGGAAGGGCTTTGCTCAGAGCTGCCACCTCCTGCAGCACCAGCGCACCCACACCGGGGAGCGGCCCTACAGGTGCCCCTGCGGGAGGGGGTTTGTCCGGAGCTCCCAGCTGATCCGGCACCGGACGGTTCATACAGGGGAGAAACCATACAAATGTCCCATCTGCGGGAAATGCTTCACTCAAGGATCCACCCTGACCAGCCACCTGCGGATCCACAGTGGGGAGAGACCCTTCAAATGCCCCCAGTGCGGGAAGAGCTTTGTTCGGCGCTCCCACCTTATTACACACCGGAGAACCCATACAGCATAGAACGCCATGCACCCCCCACACACACACCTCCATACATGTCCCAGCCCTGGGGTGTGTATTAGCCATGGTTCATCCCTTATAACGCCCCTTAAAACCCACACATGTGGCTCCTTTCATACATGTTCCCTCCTGTGCAGAGGTACAACAAAGGCGAGTTAAACATTTTTAGGGGCCTCGTTTATTTCAACAACCGCTTGGATATAATCCCTTGATTTCCAGCCAGACTGCTCGTGCCTTTTTGATCCATGTGAGTGTGTGGGGGAGGGGAGGGTTCAGAGCTAACCACGGGGTTCAGATGCCCTCTCTATTAATTTTAATGGGGATTGGATCGCCCAGTCCCTTAGTGCATAAAAGGTGGCAATAAGGCATACATTTTTAACAGAGTAATTAACCAATGGAACAATTTACCATGGGGCATGGTGGATTCTCCATCCCTGGCAATTTTTAAATCAGGAGTGGAGGCTTTCCTACAAGCTCTGCTCTAGGAATAATTTGGAGGGAGTTCTCTGGTCTGTGCCATACAGGAGGTCAGACTAGATCAGTAGTTTCCAGACTGTGGGTCGCAACGCGGTTCTGGGTCGTGGAATGTCAGGCGCTGGGTCGTGGCGGCTCTGGTCAGCATCGGCGACCCGGGCCGTTAAAAGTCCCACCGGCGGTGCTGCCTGGCTAAGGCAGGCTAGTCCCTACCTGTTCCGACACTGCACTGCGCCCCAGAAGCAGCCAGCAGCAGGTCCGGCTCCTAGGCAGGGGGCCACAGGGCTCTGTGCGCTGCCCCCACCCCAAGCACCGGCTCCGCACCGGCCAATGGGAGCTGTCGGGGGCGGTGCCTGCGTGCGAGAGCTGCATGGAGCCCCTTGCGCCCCACCGCGTAGGAGCCGGACTTGCTGCTGGCTGCTTCCAGGGTGCAGCACGGTTCGTGGTGCCAGGACAGGCACGAAGCTTGCCTCAGCACCCCTGCTGTGTCGCTGATCGGGAGCCGTCTGAGGTAGGCCCACGCCCCAATCCCTTGCCCCAGCCCTAGATGCTATGTATCTATTGAACAGACTGTAAGCTCTTTGAGGTAGGGACTGCCTCCATGGTCAGTACTCCTGGACCAACAGGGGACACCGATCACAACCTCTGCCTTCTACCAGGCTGCATGTAATAAAGACAACCTCCACAGGCAACAGTTTGGAAGTCAGTGTTGTCGTTATGGAGGTATTGAAAGGAAGGGTTGTGTTGGGGGTGAGTGTGGTTATTGGGGAGGCCTTAGAGGTTTGGATAATGAATTGAGGCTCGATTTAATTCCATTCTCAGGGCCTTGGCTTCTGGAGTTGCATGTTTTTATCAGAATCCCTGTTTTCATTAAAACCAAAAATCTCTAGCCCTCAAGGTTGCAAAGAAAAGTTTCAAAATGTCACTTGGCTGTGAGCTGAACTCATCACTCTGAGAGGTGTGAACGTTCCCGGATGTAACCAATGCTGCCTGAGTCTGCAGAGAGCCTGAGCCTATCACTCAGAGAGGTGTGAACTGCCCTGATTGTAAGAAAATCAGCAATACTGCCTGAATCTGCAGAGAGCCTGAGCCGAACACTCTCAAGGGGTGGGGGAAGTGCCTTATGCATCTTAGCTCTAAAACCTGTTACTCTGGTAAGAGGACAGGTCACGGCGGCAGAGAGGAAAGCCCCAAGGGCCCCAGACACAGATTTCTCTGCTGGCTTGGCTTGGAGCTGAGTACCAGCTAGCCTGTGATGGGGTATACACATAGGTGCCAACTTCTGCTGGCGCTGGTGGGTGCTTGACCACCCCCCTCTGCTCCTGGCCCTGCCCCGACTCCACCCCTGCCCCACCCCATTCCAACCTCTTCCCCAAAGTCCCACCCCAACTCTGCCCCCTCCCTGCCCCTATTGGACCCCTTCCCCAAAGTCCCACCCTGGCTCCGTCTCCTCCCTGGGCGTACCACGTTCCCGCTCCTCCCCCATCCCTCCCAGAGCTTGTTACGCCACAAAACAGCTGTTTTGCAGCAGCAAGCGCTGGGAGCTAGGGGGAGAAGCGGGGATGTGGCGTGCTCAGGGGAGGAGGAGGAGGCATGGGGGGAGGAGCTTGGCTGCTGGTGAGTACAGAGCACCCACTAATTTTTCCCCATGGGAGCTCCAGCCCTGGAGCACCCACGGGGTCGGTGCCTGTGACCCCATACTGGGCAATAAGGGGTTAAGGGATTATTTTGGGCTCACCCAGCCCCACCTCGCCACACCTGCAGCAAATGCTCCATCTGCTGGAGGAATTAAAAGCCAGGGAATTAGTTCATTTGGGTGGCAGAGCTAGAAAGACGTGCAGCCTACAGCAGTGGGAAGCCTAGAGGCTCTGACAGCTGCCTGGAAAAGAGGACCCACCCAGAGACAGCCAGAGAGGGAAGTATCCTGTGGATGTTGGACGTTGGCAACCCCCTTTTACTTATTATGGTTTGGCTTTCTGGACGGGGTTGGGAAGAGGAAGAGACCATGGAGGACAGCCTTGGTTGCCAGGTTACTGGTAGCCCAAAGGGCCCTGGGTCAGAGCCTTGTGGAGTGGGAGGGCCTGTAATCCCCTCCCCACAACCCCCTTGGCAGTCAGGTGTTGTGGCTCTGACCACTAGGCCCTGCTCCCCAACCAGACCCTGAGTGAGGACCTTTACATAGCCCCATGGAAGGCAGGAACAGTGGTGTGGGGAGACCATGGAAGGGAGGGGGCCATAGCAGGGGGAGGGGAATGGGACGTGTGCCCCCAGTGGGGTGTCCCTATGGCCATGGATTGCTTTAATTCAGCCCAAAGATGGATGCAGACAAGAGGAACCATGGACTGACCCAAGGGAGGATCACAGTCGGAGCCACCCCTCTTCCAGGCTAGAGCGGGGTGGCTCACAACTCCCCCGTATGAATATGAATGGAGTGGGGGAGGCAGAAGGATCAGTTAAGAGAGAGCCAACCCTGCTCATGTGCAAAGGCAGACTCCATTTCCCAGAGGCTCTTGCAAAGGGGAGTGCACAAAAAGCAGGACAGGACTCCAGCCCCCTCCATTCCCACTCTTCTTAGTTCCTGCTGGGAACTGGGGCAACGTTGCAGGGTCCCTTGGGGTTCCAGGTGCTTGGGCGGAGGGAGAGGTGAGGATTAGCCGTGTGTTTCTCCCGAGAGGAGTGGGGGCTCCTAGAGAAAGGGCAGAGGCAGCTCTACAGGGACGTCATGCAGGAGAACTACCAGACTCTCACTTCATTGGGGATCAGGAGCTGGTGGGGCTCTGACACATGCACAGCTGACTGCCAGCCCCCCTGCTCTAACCCAGAATCCTAGCTCCCAGCTGCTCCTCCATGTGTGTGTGATGAGAAGTAAGCTTAAGGATCAATTTCCTATTCATGCATGAATGCATCGTCATGGCAACAGAGATCACATCCCTATGACTTGTTACTAGGTGTTCTATGGTAGCATCTGGAGGGTCGTCATTCCCCCCCCCCCACCCCACCACCACCACCACCACACACGACTGAGATTGTGCAGGCCATGGAGGTAGACTTGGGATTCCTGGATTGGATTCCTGGCTCTGCCATTGACACACTGCATGACCTTGCCAGTCAGTTTCCCCTCCCTCTGTTTAGATCATAAGCTCTTCCGGTTAGGGATGGTCTCTCACTGTTTCTGCACAAGGCTTCGCACAGTGGGGTTGGAGCCTTTAGGTGCTACATAAGACAAGTTTGCTGCTCTTCTCATTGCCTGGACTGGCCTTTCCTTGGAATCCACTGGAAACGGAGTTTCGCTCCTGGAAACTATTTACTTTTTAAAATGTTATTTGGATTGCTCTTAGCACTTCGTTTACCTGCATAGAATCATAGAATATCAGGGTTGGAAGGGACCTCAGGAGGTCATCTAGTCCAACCCCCTGCTCAAAGCAGGACCAATTCCCAACTAAATCATCCCAGCCAGGGCTTTGTCAAGCCTGACCTTAAAAACCTCTAAGGAAGGAGATTCCACCACCTCCAGTGCTTCACCACTCTCCTAGTGAAATAGTGTTTCCTAATATCCAACCTTAACCTTCTCCACTGCAACTTGAGACCATTACTCCTTGTTCTGTCATCTGCCACCACTGAGAATGGTCTAGATCCATGCTCTTTGGAACCCCCTTTCAGATAGTTGAAAGCAGCTATCGAATCTCCCCTCACTCTTCTCTTCTGCAAACTAAACAATCCCAGTTCCCTCAGCCTCTCTTCATAAGTCATGTGTTCCAGCCCCCTAATCATTTTTGTTGCCCTCCGCTGGACTCTCTCCAATTTTTCCACATCCTTCTTATAGTGTGGGGCCCAAAACTAGACACCGTACTCCAGATGAGGCCTCACCAATGCCAAATAGAGGGAAATGATCACGTTCCTGCATTAACATTGTGCAGCTGGATTGTGCTATGTGATTGATA